ATCAGGAGGTGCTAGTTCACTGTCAGGGTGGCTCGGATCTGGAACCAACTTCCAAGCAAAGTGGTGCTGGCTCCTTCCCTAGGGGTCTTTAAGAGGAGGCTGGATGTACACTTTGCTGAGGTTGTCTAACCCCAGTACTCTTTCCTGCCATGGCAGGGGGTTGGCCTTGATGATCTGCTTGGGTCCCTTCTGACCCTACCTACTATGAAATGATTATTCCAGTTCTTTTAGGGTAAGTGGTGGGGGAGGGTTGTATTATGATTTTTATTGCATCCTATTTCCTTCCTTTGGATTTTTCTTTGGATTGGTAAGTATTGGAAGTTTGGAGAATTTTGTGTGGGTATCAAGGGCGACCGGTGCTGCCTTAGTCGGGGCGGAGGGGCATGTGGCTCCCCCCGCCCCATGTCCAGTCCCGCTGACTGCCAATCTTGCTGCCCAGGGGCACCCCCGTGGTTGATCCAGCAATGGCCAATCTCTGTGGCTGCTTCTGGGAGTGGCTGCAATGATCAGCCAGCACTGGTGGCCCCCCCTGCAAGTGTTTCTGCCTGCCCCCACTTCCCATTGCCCAAGCAGCAAGGATGGCTGGTCAGGGGGTGTATGTGCACTCCCTACGCATTGCCACTGGTGGGTATTAAGCAGTGCAGCAGGGCTGCAACCTTCAAATTTGGACTTCCTAGGCCTCTAAATATTGGTAGTTATAAGAGAAGAGGGGTAGGGGACAGGTTAGTCTGTGTAGGCCTGCGTGAATACTTTTCTACTTAGCATTCACTCTGTGGCACTGTGAGATAAGAAGGGACCTATCGAATTTGATTTAACAGATTTTATGGATTCTGCAAAATCCAGCATTGCCTGCAGAATCTGTGAAATCTGCAGGGGGAAAAAAAATTACCGAAAATAAAATGTTAGCTCACCAGAAGGAGTTCTTAGCGGCAGCCTGCTGGGGTGGAGAGTGGGGGGCTGCCCACTTAGAGGACTGCTGACAAGATGGAACCCTCCCACCCCCATCACTGGTTGGCTGTGAGTGCTGCTTGTCATATGGCTCTGTCCCTCTCCACTAGTTGGCGAGGGGTGGAGCCTTGTGATGGATTTGCAGCCAATTGGTGGCAAGGAACAGGGCCACTAGGGCTCTTCAGTCTATCAGGCATGGGGACCCGTGTGTTCCACCAGTGAAATGGCAGCTTGGGCCCATGTTCTGACTAAGAATTGGGTAGGTCCCTAGAGATAAAGGAATTAAGTTAGATTGACCTACTGTAGTCTGACCTATATGGCATCTCTTAAATGTTCATAGTGGGTTGCAATCTCAATACTGCCTTAGCACTTAATTAGGATAGACAGCAATATGTATGTTTTATAAGGTTGGCTGCTGTTCCTTTTAGCTTAAGACAAATGGGTAAGTGAAGGAGAATATCAGCCTTTCTCTCATATGTATTGGTATCCGAGTATTGGCTAATCACTTGTAACACAGAAGTAATCCTTGCTTCCTATGTTAGGAGCATGAGCTTGATTTGTGTTATTGAGATGGGTAGACAAAATAAATGAGCAGTGAGGTTGGTGATCATTCTTACCATTTGCAGAAGAAAATGTCATAATCTAAGCCATGGGTTTTCAGCCTTTTTAAATAAGTGTACTCCCGGCGGCTGGATGTGGAGCGGGGGTGGCACGTAGCTGAATGCAGAGCGGCGGCACGGAGTGGTGGATGCAGCGGCAGTTGCAGCAGTGTTCGAGTCCCCCCCCCGTCCAACTGGCCAGGTAGTACTGTGTGGCCTGCAGAGGAGCAGCACTGCCCTTGCCCCAGCCCTGCTCCTGGGAGGCGGGGGCACGGGGTGGTGGGTGGTGGCACTCTGTCCCTGCCCACCCATCCGCACATACCCGCTAGGGCCTTCCCAAGTATCCGCACAACCCCCGATCTAGGCCCTTCTTGGTTCCTTTGCATATTTAAATGTGTCCCCTTTTATATAAGTATAAAATACATGATAGCATGAGTTTAAAACCTGGGAGGTTGTCCTCTATTCACATCTTCTCCCTCACTTCATTCACTTCTTTACTCACTTTTTCTTTAATCTCCATGAACTCTCTCACTTATTTTCTACCCCACATCTGCTACTGTCCATTATAGTTGTTCTTTCACAGGTTCCCCCTCAGTCTTATATGTCTCTACACTGGATTAGTTACTGCAAAAGAGGGGAGAGCCAAACTGTAAAGAATAGCTCTGCTGCAATTGTACTGAAGTAGTACCCACAACTGCTACCAGTTGGCAGGGTGTGTATCTATGGAAGGAGCTGTGACAAGAAAGTAATACCAGCTGGAAGTGTCTTTGGAGAGAGGATGATTAGCAGGGATCCTGGTTTTTGCCTGATTTTAAAAAATTGGAAATTTTCTGATTTAAAAACCCCAAAGTCTGTAATTAAAAATAAAGGCCCACTGCAACCACCCCTGGCCCTGCTGGTGCCCCTCACTCACTTCACAGCCCTGTTTGTGCCCCTTGCCCCTCATCCACAGCCCCTGCCACCTCCCCCCAGCTCTGCCAGAGCTGCCTCTAGCAATGGGGCCAGGGACCCAGGTCTGCAGCTCCCTGCCCCTGACAGAAGACAGCTGCTGCAGGAGAAGGAGCATGAAGCTGGCTCCCCCGGTCCCAGCTGCCTGCCTACTGTGAGCTTGGGCAGGGGTGGGGCTGGCTCCATGCTGCAGTGCACACTCCTGAGGGGCTAGGGTACCCACACCCCACAGTTCTGTGGGGGGTAGATGCATGCTGCAGGCTTGTGCTCCCTGCCCTGCTGCCCTCCCCTGGGGCCTCTGCAGCGCAGTGTGTGCAGCTGGGCACAGCGGGGCTGCTCAGGAAAGCTGCTTGCCCCTGTGAGCGCCACACTGCCCTGGTGACACTTCCCCAGTGCACAGGGATAGCAGTGAGGGGCATAACCCTCATTTTATGTTAGTAAAGGGGAAAATCCATGGTTTGCTCCATTTTTCCATGGGAAACGGAAAACCCTGACGATTAGTCAGTAACAATGAAACTTGAGAGAAAAAGTACAATTTATTTTTGTCTTGGAATGAAAATACTTTAATCTGTTATGCTGGATGACTATTGCTATTGCCATGCTGGACACTTGGGTATCTGCAGCTTTTAAATATTAGTTTAAAGCCTTTTTTCTGTTCCCTGTAAGCAGGCAAAACCTTCTACTGTAGAAGTATTGGAGAAAATTGATAAGGTATGTATTTGGCTCTTCATTATGCCTGGTTTTTTTTGTTTAGTTTAGAAATAGATCTGATATCTGGTCATTTCTTTAAAAGTGTGGCAGTTTTACAAATATGGAAATAAGTATTATATGAATGCTTATTTTAGAGCATTCATGTACTGGAGGCTGGGGATTTTAGGTGAAAGAAAATAGGGAGCAGAACCTTCAGCATTGGTTTTTAAGCACAAGCAGTATTTACTCAAACAATGACAAACTTTATTGTTTGTCTACATATGTATTCAGGCTAACGTGAAGGAATGCTAAGGGTGGCCTAGTTGTACAATCCTATTATGGCTAATGCTTAAGCCCTCACTTTGTGTTCCCCAGAAACATTTCGCTAAAGCAAAGTTCTGTTTATTAGGTTCATTAGCAGACCTTCCAGTGCAAGTTAAGTGTTACAGAGTTTTCCAAGGGAGGTGTTAGGCAAGGACAGAATAGATAATTAAGTGATTTAGTATTATTCTACTTGGTATTTGATACAGGTGCCAGTGGTCCATAGGAAAATTACATATTTTGAAATATGCTGGTGGCAGTTTTCATTGTGTAGCTAATGAAAATGTGGATGATCCTGTCGTCATTCAATGTGAAATCAAAATAATGGCACAGCAGAATACTTCTAGATTATTAATTAATCTTCCAGAAACAGTATTCAAATATTCATGATTCTTAATAGGATAGAGCATTGAAATAAAAACTTACTTGAAAAGGTGGTTGAAATATTTTAGCTTACTCGTGTGAGAAGATGATACTATTAAATTAGGGCACATCTGAGATTTAACAAATGACACTTAAAGCATCGGTACTCAAACTGTTTTTAGCAGCTCTTTTTAGTGACTATAGAAAGGTTGCCAATTGTATGGTGCTAATTCTCACTCTTGTTTCCAAATTACTAAATCGTACTAAGATAGCTAACTATATTAATTTCCAATATAAATATTATTGTTCCAGTTGCTGTAGTGCCCAGGAATCATTAGTGGAGTGCAGGTGATTCATATCACAATCTTTGTATTAAGATATAATTCATGTTATGAAAATTATACGTTGTCAAGTATAAGAAGCCTGTTTGTGTAGAAGCTTTATAAAAATAAACCGAACCATTTAAGTTTAGCAAATGTTATAAAGGTAGCAAACCTAATAAGATGACAAAGAAAATGAAGATATAAATTTACTTTGTAAACCTTATCTACATTTATAAACTTACATTTATTTACAGGAAATCCAAGCATTAGAAGAATTTAGAGAAAAAAATCAGAGGCTGCAGAAGCTATGGGTTGGAAGGCTACTTCTCTACTCTTCAGTTCTTTATCTTATTACCTGTTTAATTGTATATTTGTGGTGTCTTCCTGATGAATGGACAGCAAGGCTGATTATGACGCTTCCATTTTTTGCATTTCCATTGATGTAAGTAAACTATGCCGTTTTTCTTAACTGCTATCTCTTTCTTAGAAGGAGATGGAAAGTACTTCTCAGCAGGGGCTTCTGTTTTTTTTGACAATTCTTGACTTGTCAGAACTTGCTGGATTTTCTCTTTAAAATAGATCTGAGTAGTTATGCATATGCTTTCTTTGAGGGAAATATCTCTCTTGGGCCATACTGGGTATGAAGGACAACTAAAAGATTTTTCTAGTTAAAAGATGTTAACATCTAAAATTGCGTAGCTTATTAGCACCTTAATTAAGGTTGTATAAATCGGAAGAGCCATAAATACTAGAGGATGTTGTATAAGATCACTGTTCATCTGTTTGTTTTGTGTTTTCAATTCTTATTTAGAAAAATTATCTTGAATCTTGTCTGAAAGCGGTACACAAAATAAACTAGCTACACAAAATGCTGCCCTATGCAAATGGGAAAGATGATTTCTCCTGTTTTGTCAGTTCTGGTACTTTTTGCCTGTAAACCTAGGCAAAGATTGAAACTAATTATTTTGCTCCTTTAAACATACAGGGATACGTTTTTAAGTGTTGGGTTCTTTTTTTCCCCCAAAATGTTCTTGGCTTTGCTTTTTGCTGTCTTAGAATTTTTAACATTTGCTAATGATAACTTGCTAGATGTACAATAGAAAGAATGGATGCTTACTGTTTTCATTCAACTTATTTGAGACTTACTTTCCAGGTACTACTTGTTTTCTAAAAAATATTTCCCTCCCTTTTCCCCGCTCCTTCTCCCCTCCCTCTCCTTCCCCCCCGCCCAAAAAAAAAAAAATTGCATAGCGGCAAATTAAGAGATGGAGTTCAATTCCCTTAACGTGTTACAGAATCAATTCAGGCTTCCTGTATTAGTTACAAGCACTTCAAGTTTGAGTTTGTTTGCAAATTTATTTTTGCCTGAAACTTGATTGTTCAAGGTTTCAAACTTTTGGGGTGGGGAAAAATATGGGGTCAGAATTAGTCCTTTGAGGCTCTTACTGTGATTACTATAGTAAGATTGAATGTAAATCATGCACAGCAGAACATATCAGATTTCTTGTTTTAAAATACTTTTGTGTGTGTGTATGCATGTTTGTGCAGACACACGTAGTGGTCTTCAACCTGGTTAGATTTGAGGTACCCCTTGGAAAATACCAGGTCTTAGCTATTACTCATTTTTTGAGTACAGAAGAATATTGGAGCACTTTTTTTTTCCTGTTGCAGAGAACTTGGAAAGACTCACAACAAGTTACAATAGGAGTGCTCAGCCTTGGGCCTGCAGAGAGTCCCCACAGGTCTGGAAATCTGGCAGCAGGAGATCAGATCTCTGGACCCTGACTGTCAAGTCTGGCACCTTATCCCAGTGTGCAGGACTGGGTCTGGGGGTGGTGCTGGACTGGAGAGGGGGCAGTGCTAGCTCTGTGACCCAGTCCTGGCATGAGAAGGGCTGGTGGGAGTGGTGCCTGCCACCTTGGACCCAGTCCTGGCATGGGTGATAGGGAGGGGGCAGTGCAGGTAAAATCAGGCCCTGGGGGCCAGCTTATGTCATCTAGGCCACTCATCTGGCCTGTGGGGCCAAAAGTTTGAATACCACTGGGTTACAATATTTTTGACACTCTGGATTCCTACTTGAAATTTCTGGATTGGTCTTGTGAATCAGACACAGATGACAGTGCTATATGGTTTGGTACCCTTAAAGATCTTATGGCAGGTTCAAAATCACTTTATTAATGAGTTACTCTACAGTTTTAGCATTTGTTTGTAAAGGGATGTGTATATCATGAAATTCTCTTGGGAGCGAAAGTATGTAGACCATTTTACCTAGGTAGCAATGTAGTAACTGGACTTGGCTGATTTAGAATATAAGGGTCAAAATGGGCATTTTCAAAAAAAGAATGATTGGCCTTTGTTTTCTAGCGCAGTATTCTTACCTGTAAAACTTGCTCATGACATCAAGCAAAGCAAGTCAGGAAAGGAGTACTGATAGCTTCCCCTTTACACTCAGGGCAAAATTAGTGTAGATAGCATGTTGTTATTTAAGGAGCTGGCTCCTAGTACTTGTTTTCTTGAGTTTTTACACTGGATCCTTTGTTCTTTTCCTTTTCTTTGTTCAATGCATATTCACTTTTGAATGATTGGCTTCCATAAACTCCTGGGCCAAGCAACCATCAAGCATATGAATATTTAGAACTAAATGTATTCTCTGTTATAACTTGCAAACATGTGTCTATTTGTTTTTGTTTCCTTTTTATTTCCCCTTCCCCCTCCTCGGTCCCATACTCTTCAGGTTTTTATCTGGCAGGTGTAAACGGCAAGTAGCTGCCAACATGTCTGTGCTCTCGATCAAGAGATGAATCCATGCTGAGTGTTTGGTGCCACCCAGTACTAGCTCTATATAGTTTGCTTAGAAAAGAAAACTCTCATATGTCTGCCTCTCCCAAGCTGCAGTCACTCACTAACATATTACTGCCTTGGGTCATTCCCCCAGAGTCTGAGCACATTACAGATGCTGGTACAGTCAGTTAAATTGTAGGAATATGTAACATACATTCAGAATACACTGTAATAGCTATTGAGCACTTGAAAAATATGGCAGTATATCAGGAGGCCCCACTTCTTCAAAGTGCAACTTGTTCAGTTAAGAACAGTTTCATGTGGTTCCCCCCCCCCTTCTCCACCTTAATCTGAGAATTAAAAACCGTATAAAATTTTTAAATTAATATCTTCTTTTTAAGCTGTAACTAGGATGGACAGCTATTTAAAATTTTGCCTTAATATCCTAAAGGTAAGAATCTGCAGTTAAAACTTTAATGTTTTTTACACCAGTGGTGCTCAACCTTTTTGACCTGGAGGGCCAAGTGACTGGGCTGGATTGTGCCCCATGTGCCAGGATTGAGCCCTGGGGCTCAGCAATGCCCTCTCCGTGCCCCTGCATGCCGGTGCACAGGCCATGGGGCTCCCCATGGGCCTGGACATTTTGGCAGCAATGGATTTTTGTCATTGCTGTCCTGCCATCAAATTTCTGGCCCCTGGGGGGTCTCTATGGAGCAGATAATGCATAGCTGTGGGCTGGGGATTGAGTACCTCTGCTTTATACCATCTCTTTGCTCAGCCCGCAGCACTAATTAAAAAAAGGAGCTTGACTACTATTAAATAAATACAAATGCACCTATGAAAGGAAATGGAGCACATGCTCCGTACCAGTATAGAATTAGTCCTGATATAGACACTGATGTATCATTATCTCATTTACTTCATTGAGAAATGCTGTTCACTGTGTAAAAGAACTGTTACCAGTTTTCATAGTACTTAATAACTGTTTTAAAGATAGCTATTGAAACATGAATCTGAAAGTGGAATTTAATATTGTATACCTTTTCATAATTCTGCCTCAGTGGCTTGTTGTGTGACCTCAGACAATCAATTCACTTTCTTACTATATCTCCTTGGGTATCGGGGTAATGGTTAAATTAGCTCTGTGTGTATGTGGTTCTTACTGCTAGTTGCTGCAAGCATTTTGAACAGAAAAGCCAAAGAGAAATGTCAAATTATATGCTTATTAAGCAGTCATGCTGCTGTTTTATCAAACCCTTCATGGGATTTTCTTTCTCTTGTGCAAAGTATGATTTTTGAGTAACTCTAACCTCTACTGGACTTCTAACTTTTATTTTTGACTTTCATCTAATTCAGTCCCTCCGTTACTCTGTAGTATAGAGCCTGACATAAGGAGGGCTTCACATGTCTACTTGCCATTTGAGTTAGATTTGTTAATTGCCAGGAAAAGCTTCCAACTTCATTAGCATAAGTAGATTTAAGCCTTTTTTCTTAATTTTTCAAGTTCTTGTGACTGCAAGGAGAATATTCCATATATAACTGAATGTGAATAATGATGGCTTTGTCTTTCCAAAAATGTGGATGGATTACTGATTTTTATTTTCTGTTGAAGCAGCAGTATAAAATTGACCAGACTTGGGGCAGTTTTCCTGTTACTATTCTGAGCCCTGTAAAATTGACCAGAATCATGTCAATTTATTTTTCTTGGAAAGCTTTTAAGGTAGCAACTACACTGTAGTTGCTGCTCAAGGATTTCACTGGTATAAAACCACCCTCACCAACTCCCAAATATGAATTTACCTTGTAAGTCTAGTCCTATGGTCAGTATTTACCAGTTTAATGTTTTTAGTGTAACATGGCAATAAAGTAGCTTTTGATTTAGCTTCCTATAAGAAATATGCCTTTATTTTTTTAAGATGTTACCACCGCAAAGTTCTGTTCTTACTTAAAGCCTATTAAAAATGGAACTAAATATGCATCATTATCTATTTATTATTGCAGAACTCTTTGTTTGGGCTTAAGAAAATAATTTATTCAATCTTACCAGCTAATAAATATGTTGTTACTTTTTAGACCTCTTTTATATAATAATTTATCTTGATTACACTTTAATGGAAATATTTTTTACTTTGTGTATATCAAGGTTGACTGCTATATGAAGAAATACTTGCATTTCACTCGTAGCTCTCTGTTTTATAATACAGTCTAAACACTTTCACTTTTTTCTGCCTAGGTACTAAATTTACTTCAGTGAAAGTGCTTGAAACTAGCTGTTCTGTGAAACATACATTCCTAGTCAACATTCATAACAGGTTATTTTAAATCTATTTTGGGGGGCTGTTCCCACCCATAGTGAAAGATGAAGGTTGCTTCCTAGTACAAGCTAAACTCTTCAGTTTTATTAGTCTAAATGCGAACTAACTTTATTTTTCCCCCCCTCAGAATCTGGTTTATAAGAACACTACTCATTTTCTTCTTTTCCAAAAGAACAGAAAAGAATAGTAAGTTTATTTCCAATTTTTTTTTTAAAAATGTGTGAAACTAATTAGGAGTGTGCTGCCTCATTTCCTCCCCTCTATTTTGCTCTTCTGTCTGACCTTTATTGCAACTTCTTCATGGAAGTGTTATAAGGTACCTTCAGTTGGTTAAAAAATGTATCTATAGTGGTTATCAGTGGTTCATTGTCAAAATGGGGGGGGGATTCAAGTAGATCTTTCAGGCATCTGGTTTGGACACGGCTCTAGTCAGTATTTTCAGTAGTGACTTGTATGGTGGCATAAAGAGTCTGCTTATAAAACTTGTAGGTGACACTAAACTGGGAGCACTTGTAAGACAGGGCTTGGAATAAATTGAAGAAATGCTCTGAAGTCAACAAAATGGAACTCGAGAGAGAAGTGCAAGTTGTTAAACCTGGGAGAAGTCAAATGCACAATGCGAAAAGGGAATGACTGGCTAGGCAAGTAAAGCTGCAGAAGAGCACCTGCAGAGGTCTAGTGGACCACAAATTGAATGTGATACAAAAAATGAAATGCTGTTTCAAACATGGCAAATCTAATTCGGGGAAGTCTTACCATGAATGAATTGTCACCATAGGCGGTAATTCTTCTGTACTTGGTCCTGATGAGGCCTCAGCTTGAGTACTGTCTGGTTTTGGGTACCACATTGTAATGAAGATGCAGACCTATTGGAAAGGGTTCTGAAGAGTTAGATGAATTGAGTGGCTTTGAGGAAATGATGTGTGAAGAAACCTTGAAAAGGTTGAGTTTTTTTCGTCTAGCAAATACATGACTGGGGAAAGGGAAGAGTTGGTGGCATATTTAGCTTTCCGGTATGTAAAGATTTTTTACAAGGAGGAGGATGTTCAATTGTTCATGTCAGCTTCAGATATGATGAGGAATCTTAGCTTACTTTGCAGGTTAAGTGTTAAGAAAAGCTTTTTTAGTAAGGGTCATGCAGCACAGGAGCAAGTGACCTACGGACATCATATGATTTATTAACTTCATGGGAGGTTTTTTAAAATCAGGTTAGATAAACCTCTGCCAGGGATTTATCCTGTAAGGAATGTGGACTGGGATGACCTCTTGAGGTTCATTTCAGCCTGTTTACTTTTTGTAATGTTGCACCCTGCTTTTCAGCTGCTAAATTGAGTTGAGCCAAAGATGCATGGTATTGTAGTCCGATGATAGCTTCTAATAATTGTCACTTGATGATAGAGAAGGACATTTGCTCTATGAATTTATCTTGTGGATCATTCTTGCTCCCCTTTGCCATTCCTGTTGTACTAATCTATATATGTAAAAGTTTCCCAAGTTTTAAAATTATTGCAGTACTCCATGGAGCTGCATTTGAAGCTTACTTCATGGAAATGTACTTAAGTTGCATGCTGTGCAGAATGCAGCTGTTCCTTAAATAGTATAAGTCACTGCAATATAATATGGTAGTTGTTCAACTGCACTTGCACCGCTGGTGCAGTTCAAGGTGCTAAATGTTTAGGGCTTCTAGAGAAGTTATCTACTACTATCTATTCATCTACCATAGAAATTGCCTGTAGTGCATTGGAGGTCAGATCATGTAATTTGTATGACTGATGAATTTCAAAGGTGCCTAATTATGAGAGTAACTGGTCCAACTACAGGTGGTATTAGGTCTTGCAGCATATATTGTTGCTCTTCTTTGCGACTGAGTAGTTGTTAGCTGTGTTTGTGTATATAATATTAATTCTGTACATCTGCCCATTAAATACTAAGGAGTTTATTTTATAAATTAGAAATAAAAATGGCTTGTTGCATCAAAGCAAAGACTTCTCAGCAGAGAAGTGTTATGCTCGAATGTCAGCTGAATGTGCAAACTAGTATAAATTCCTTTTTAATGTTGAGAAATATATTAAAGCTGTTCCAGGAGGCTTAAGTAATATAAAAAAAAAAAATCTTGTTTTTCTCTCTATTTATTTGGGATGATCTAAATAATGGTTATGTAATTTGATCACTTCGGTTTTGTTTTTGCCTCTACTTTTCCCCGATGTTATGAGGTACATTTCTGGAAAAAATAGCACTAACAAAGTAATTTTGGAACCCACAAAATGAGATGTATAGAGGAAGAGGTTGGGTGCTAAACTTTCAATAGAGGAGGAATACAAGATGGTAAATACTCTCCTATATTTTTCTACTTTAGTAAAATCCATAATTCTATGCATAGTATTCTGTGAAGAAGGTAGCAAAGAATTGGTAGCATCAAGGGAATTCATTCTTTTACATTACTCACTGGCTTATTACAGTGAGGTTTTTTTTTTCCATGAGTGCCAAATTGCTAACATTGACTTCCAGGAAAAATCCCACTTGCATTTGACTTCATTTTTTTTCCTACAGAGATAACAGAGGTTAGGTGTTGTGCCTACTAGCTCTAACTGTGTCCCTTCTCTTTGCTGTGAAATGACCTTCTAGTAGTAATAGCTTCTCTTATAAAACTGGAGTTTTGTTAGAGTTTGGAAATGTTGGAAGGGTGAAATATAGATTCAGATGTTAAGTTTGCAATTGATCTAGCATCTGAAACTAGCCTGCATAACAGACTTCCTTGAAGTATATTAAAGCAGGTGAATCTGGGTCTCTAATACATGTATTAAAACTTGGATTTAAGGTTTTTCTGGTGAGTCAGGCTCCTTTACAGTCTTGAGCAAATTTTGCCTGTTGTACTAATTTTAATATAGGTCAAAACAGGTTTTGTGCTAGAAGTAGTTTGCTTAAAGAAGTGGTACATTAAAAGTTTTTTTATCGTTGCATTCTGTCATATACAGAAAAAACTAAAAAATATAACTTTTTTTTATAAGAGACCTTACTGTCATTTAAGAATTTTATATTATCAAAATATAAGATTTGCTGATAGTTGGTATGACTTGGAGCCAGCATGTGAACATTTTTCTGATCTCACAGTTGGGAGGATAGATATTCAACCTGTGTGTGCTGAAATTAGTATCATTTTTTTAAATGTATAAAATATCCATATCTTCCTTTTCTTTTTAAGGTGAAGCATTAGAAGAACTAAAATCCCAAAAAAAAAAAATAGTAAGTAAACTTTACTTCAAATAAATTGTCCGTTAAATCTTATTTTTATATATACTTTCAGCAGTTCTACCGACTGTTTACCTGTGTTACATAGCTTCAGAGTTTCATTTTTTTAACCTACTTTTTGTTTTCATGCATTCACAATATAGTTTAATA